TACTTAAAGAAATAGGTTATTCCTCAGCCTAATCTGAACACTGATTCCATTCAGGCTGTTGATGCACAGCTTCAACAAAAAAGACAGGCCTTTCTTAAACCACATGTATACAAAAAAAGGACTAACTTAAATTTTAAAATCTTCTTTACAGATTTCCTTTTACATAATACAAAATATGGGAAAGTACAGATAATCCAAAACTATTTTAGTTCTAAAATCGTAGCCACCCATAGCAGAAATGCATGCACTGGTGATCACTGAAGCCACCAATATCTTGTTCCTATAGACACAGGATGGGATGCTGCTCGTCAGCTTTAACTGTCAACGTAGACGTGTTGTGTAAGGTGTCTTTCTAGACTCTCTTTACAGGAAATGGCAGCAACTCTAGAGTGCAGTCTTCACATCTGTTAATGTCTTCTAATATATACTCTTCTAACATCTACTAATAGGTGGAAAGAATTCCTCAGGGACATCTCTTTCTTCATGTACAATAGAGGGAATCAAGTCTCAGCTGAAAGCAGATGCTCACCTTTTAAATTGTTAGAACTGAGTGTGGCGGATGCTATCCATGACATCTTTCATCCCTTGAAAGGATGAAATATGGGATGAGACTGTACTAGGCTGTTGCAGAGATAATGGCTGTGTCTGCATTAGTGTTTTAGTTCGCAGTGTGACTATATTTTTCCTTCAAATCAGCCCCGTTTACTGTGCCGTGATTCATACTGTAGGGCAGTCGTAGGCTGTACAAAATGGGGTATCTTTCTGGTGAAATTAAATGGAAGATACACTCCCAGACAGCACCTAAACCACAATTTACAACTAGTCCAAAACAGCCCGCTCAAAACACGTATAGAGTGAATGTCAGGTCCTCAGCACCAACTGTTTTGCTCTACAGAACCATTCCTATTCAGCTGCGCTACTTGCCAACATACACAAAGACAGCTGATTCAAATCAACTCCGTGTTTCAAACTTGCCTGTGAAAAATACAATGGAAGTATGATGGAGATTTTGAACTGACAGAAGAAAATAACAGAACTGTAGACCATGGAATAAAGGCTGTAGTCAAGCTGTTCTGGCTGCAGCTGAATAAAATGAAGGGGCTGCTGATCTCAAATGCTCTCAGCTTTCTTTTACTGCTCCTTCGCCAAGGGTTGCCACCCCCTCAGTTAGCATAACTTAAAAGGGTATTTGTTCCCTCGCCATGTTTTTTTCATGATAGGTCAGGTTGATTTTAAACACTGTAATAGTGAGGTCTGAACTGTGTTGCCACACATCAACATAAAAATTCTTCAGTAAACAATCTCACCCCTCAAAACCATGTAAGATTAGCTTAAAGATACATAAGATCTTTTAAAACTGTATTTTTGTTTACCTGCTGGGTTTTGTGCCTTTGTGATTCATGCTGGCAGGTTTCTGGACAACAATGGTCCTGAGAAAATACCAGTTTTCTCAAATGAAAGCTGAGATTTCCAAGTAATCACTGGCTCAAGCAGCCAAAGTTTAAGCAAGCTGTTCAGTTTAGTGTGACTTCACAGACAAATCACAAAAATCACAAACCCCCAAAGTCTGGCCATTCTACTGAATTAAATCCATTTGCCCTAGTCCTGTTAAACCTGTCATATGGGGAACTTCTCATGTGAATATTACAAAAATGTGAAAGAGAAGAAAGAGAGTTTAGTGCAGTCTGGAGGAATACTGGTGTGCCTGGCCATTTTATGAGACTGGGCTGAGACTGTTAAGTCTCTAAAGCCAAAGCCGAAGGCAGTTCTTGCTGCATGCTGTAACTTTTTTGGAGTGTTGTGGCTAATCACTGCATTAGTCTTACTACTCTTGAGTTTCTAATAAGAATTATAAGACATGGATCAAAGCTGGCTGGTTGTTTAGGTGTTACTATTTTAAAAGACCATCTGGTTTTAATAATTTTTTTTAAAAGGACGAAAGCATACTGGGAATTACTTTCAATGTTTCTAAGTTGTGCCACTGCTGCATTTTTAAACATTTCAGCAAAACTGATATTATAATAGGAATGGTGTTTGTATCAAAGACTCTTAAATTTCTGTTAAACAACTGTGCAGTGTCTTAAATGACAAGAAATTTTATCTAACACATGCCAAAAGCATGCTGAAGATTTTTCCAACAGCTCTGATTCATCTCCTTGAATTCATTTTTTCTTAGAGATACAGTATAGGCAATCATTTTATTAACAACCAGCTGTTTTAATATTCATTGCAATAAAGAGATTATTCTTCTAGAACCCTCAGCACAACTGGTTCAGCATCGGAGAGCCAAACAAGACTGATTACTGCCAGAATTGATGAGCCTTTCTATACCCATATGCCATATACACTATAATTCATCTGCAGTTTAATCACTAACTAAACATTTGTAACTGACTACGGGGAGACAGGACTCAAACTTGCAGGCTGGTATTCCTTTGTGTTCAACCCTTATGCAGAAGCTTGGGTCACAAGAAGCTTGCAGAAACAGATATACAACATTCTGTGCAGCCAGCCAGCAGCCATTGCAGAGCAGGACAAGTGCAAAGCGAAGGGAAGGCAGGCTGTCCTGTTCTCCCAGGACATCTTACATGGGACAGAGCTGAGCAAAGCCTCAAGCTCTTTGTGGCTCTTTCTGGTATCACTACAGTGCCAAGTGAATGATTACTTCGAGCTAGTTTCCTCAGCAATATATATTCCACCTTTAAAACTCCCACAGGGCACTTTTTCTGTGAAATTACATAATCCACTGCATTTTTATAAACAGTTGGTTCACTGTACAGGCTAAATCCTGTGTTCTGAGGGACAGAAATTCTGTCTGTACCATTGGTAGAAAATGCTCACAAAAGCAGTTGTGAGTTTTTCTAGTAGGAGGAGGCATGGATCTTACGGTACCATTCAGGAAAATGTTTGGCCCTAATTTTGCCTTCTTATCTGTAGATATCAAAGCATTCTACAAAATAAAACAGCTATATTAGCATCATTTCATATATAAGAAGTTGAAGCACAGAAAGGTAACACAGCTTTTCTGAAACCTGATGATAATTTGGTGGGAGAGCTGCAAAGAGAACCCCCATTGGTGGCCTCCCACTTGTGTGCCCTATCCACAGAAACGTGCTGCCTCCCAGTGCTTTCTAGATATACCAGGCATCTGTGGAGCTGTATTTTTAGCCCTGATACTCTCTTGGGCTGGAACTGGGCCATGAAGATTCACAGTCAGCTAAGGACTGTAAATATCCCTTAGACTTTATGGGAGGAAAACTGGCATAATATCAAAGCAGAACAAGCACTTTCTTAAATTCCAGTTTTATTAACTACTGTCATACTTGAGAGAGTTCCCTGCAAAATAAGAAAGAACCAACAGCTGCAGCATGTTGTAAACAAGCAAAAATTAGAAAGAATTCCTGCAGGCTTTATCATGTTATGGCAACAAAATCAGTTTTTAAGAACTACAAATCATGGAGGTTTCAGGGCTTTTTCAGACTTAATGACTTACGCTGGTCATTAAGCCATCAACAAGAAATGTTTTCATCTCCCAGTAATACTATAAATATTTGTTTTCTCCCAACCCAATTTTTTGTAGGAGAAGACCAAATATCCCCATGCATTTCAGATGCACAGGCCTTTCTCAGAATTATATTACCACTAAAATTAAGGCTATTAAGCCTATTAAGGCTCCAGAAAGGACCAAAATTCTTTTAAAAATGCAGAACCTCTTTTTGTCACCTTTTTTTGAGTGTCTTTTGACCTACACTGATCCACAGCAGACATGCTTGTTTTAAGGTGACATAAAATTCTGTAAAGCTGAGGTCTTGTGGAAGGGTGAAAAGAAATATCTTACAAATGACAGAGATCAAGCAGGACACATGCACACATCATCTTGTGTGTGTCATGACGACATTAGTCCTCAAGAATAGGAGGATTAGTTGTCTCCAGCAAGCACTTAATTCCATTAAACAAGTAGTACTGAGAGAAGGTGAGGAAAAACACAGAGTTCTGCTGCATTCTGAGTGACTTCCGAGTGAAGTGCCAGGGAAAATCAGAATGGTGCGCTCACTTTGGTGGGACATATTATGGGTTCTTGCAATAAAGAGCTGGACTAGTTTTATAGAAGCATTTTATTGGGTTGCAAGGTACAGCAGTTGTTTTGCTTGTAAACTAATGATTCCTTGTCCCTCAATGTGCCATTTCTGAGTGGAAGACGTTTTCCCAGTAAGTTGGTGCTTTAAATTAGTTTTTCGGAGGCTCTGGGCCAGTGTGATTAGCATTCCGTTTGCACAGGAAAGAGCTTGGATAGCTTCTACATTCAATCTGCTTTTCTCTTTGCTCCAGACACTACTCCTTCCGCTCAACAGTCATTCCCCTGGATACCATTCATTTCCAATTAACACAGGACAATTTCCCCAAACCATGGCTTGCAGGCAGTATGTTTTCCATGAAATCCTCCCACATTACTTCCAGCCAAAGGAAATTAAAACATTCAAACTTACCAATAGGGGAAGCTAAAATAGATATTGCCTTCAGTATTACTTTCTCAGTCTTGTTGCCAGATGATAAGAGGCCACTAACCTAACAAGTAGTTTGTGTTTCTTATAGAAAGAACAACTTGCTTAATAACTTGAAGAACTTAAGCCAGTGTAAAGACTCTCAAAAAGTTCCAGCGATATCACATGAAAAATACAAGCGTTCCGCTAACTCTGAGCTATGGGGTCTCTATAGGTCTTAACCTGGGCAGCATGTGAAAATGCTGACAGTGCTGAGAACAATTTTTGCTGCAACACATTATTAATACTTAATGACTGTGCATTTTGCTGCTGCAATCAGAGGAGAGTAATTAAACTGTGAGTTTAGTGTAGAGAATACCCTGACCCTTCTTTCCAACTGTTCAATCAATGGGCAGGGAAGACAATGTGAAACCACAGGGTGTTTTTGGACCTCCCATTGTAACAGCAGTGTTGTCTTCTTTTTTTCTCTTTTTTTTTTTTTTTTTTTCTTCTCCTCAGAATGAGGTGGCAATGCTTCTCAAACCAATATCAGAGAAGATTCAGGAAATCCAGAACTTCAGAGAAAGGAATAGAGGAAGTAAAATGTTCAACCACCTCTCAGCCATCAGTGAAAGCATACCTGCCCTTGGGTGGATAGCAGTGGTGAGTGACACACAGGATGGTTGGGAGGGCTGGAAATGTGCTTCTGGATGGCGTGGCCCAGAACAGTTACAAATCTTGCAGAACTCTGCAGACTCATCTGCATAGTTCTTCAGTCTGCTACACGCAAGAAGGTGTTTTGTAATACACCGAATACATCAGGGAAGGTGTCTGACTAATGTTGTACTTCCTTTCTCCTTCTGTTGTTTCCTGCAACCATGGGTTGATGGTCCTAGTCTCCTAAACCAGGCCCTTATGTCAAGGAGATGAATGATGCTGCTACCTTTTATACTAACAGGGTATTAAAGGACTACAAGCACAGGTATGTTGCCAAGCCCCAGTATCTACCAGCCAGAGAACAGAGCCATACCAGTAGGGTTCACAATGCCATCACAGAAAGCATTTTGTAAACTAAAAAGCATTTGATAAAATCTGCGTGCAGTAGTGTGTTTTCCCCTCCTCATCTTTGACCTGCAGCATGTTGCAGTGAGAATGGCAGCAGCACTAGCAGTGCTGGTTTTCACTCTGCAAATTAGAGGATTATATTTAATTTTCTGGCATTCCAGCATCATAAGCTTATATGCAAATGCATATTTACATATCAACATGTGTCTAGCTAGCTGCTACGTGTCCTTGTCTCATTTGTGCACTCATACTGTTGCTGTTCCTGCTCTTCGCTTGAAAATGTGCATTTAGGTGGTAGATGTATACAACTGAGCATCTAATTCCATAGCTCCCAATTTGATTTTTTTCTGTACTGCTGCATTGTTGTTAAAGAGCACAAGGAATTCACAAAAAAGTTCCATAAATTATATCTGTGAGCTGACAGAGAAAGAGAAAAAATACAGGTTCTTGCTGTGCCCTCTGACAAAAGTCCTGAATAAATCCTGCTGATTTGGTACTTTTGGAGGCCAGATTTTGGCTCTTGATTTTTATATCCCAGTGAAGAACAGTATTTGCTATTAAGTTTTTCGTCTTTAGTGAGGAGAACTTTATATATATATGTAACTCTTTTCTATAGATTTCCCGTTATTGTATAGGTATAAACACATATTATATACTACATATAATATTGTATATGATATATATTATTAATTATTCCTGAGGCCTTAGTTTACCTGCTGAAAGTACTACCACTGGGGTAACTGAAGATTTTTAGCTTTAGTGCTTATTCTGGAGAAGAAAATGTCTCGCATAACAGTATAAACAGGGTACGTTACTTAGGTATTTAGTTCTTCCCCTAATAAGGAATTCTCTTCCTGTTTTTCACTGAATCAGATCACAATGTAGTGGAAGGCTCTCCCTTGACTCCAGGAGGCTTTGGATTAAACCTGTTGATCCAAATCCTCAGTGGTATTAAGCGAGAAACTCCAAAGGAAATAAATAGGAGGTAGACACCCAAATCCTTGTAAACATCCAGTCCATAGCCATCACTATTCAGTAATAATTCTTCATAACTAAGGACTCAATCTTAGAAGCAGTTTCTCTCTTTCTACATATTTCTTGTTTTCACTGACTATCCCATTGGAAGACTAAGCCTTGCAAATAATGATTCCAGAGCCAATGTGTGACTTGTACTTTAAAAATTCTTGATGTATAAATATTTTAGTCCGATGACTATAGTATGATTCAGTATTACCCTGTCTACATTTGAACTTGGAAGCTAGTATATCTTACAGAACCCACGGATATTTAATTTTCTAAAATTCAGCACCCTGAAACTGAGTCCGTGTAGCTGCTACACAGCTCCATATACCTTTAGGGCTTCTTCCGTTGACTTTGAGCCTGAACAGAATGATGACACACCCTTCCAGCAGGAAGCACTCTGTGCTGGAGGCATCCTTTGCCCTTGTTTGTCCGCTGGAAGGATCTAAAAGCTTTCCAGAGTAGTAGACCTCAGTATTTTCAGCACTGGGCTGGCTGGCTGCTATCTGATTTGTCCACAGCTTTAAGGCATACATTGGGTTTTACCTGCTTTAAGCAAGAGTAGCAGTGCTTTACATTTTTAAGTATATTCACACATATAAATATTGTCTCTGTTTTTACAGCGACACACGCCATGTTGATTGGGTGAAGTCATACCTGAACATCTGGTCTGAGCTTCAAGCTTATATCAAAGAGCATCATACCACAGGGCTCACCTGGAGTAAAACTGTAAGTAATCTTTCCTTCTTCATGAAGAACCATAAAATGCCAGTAACTGATTTGACTTTTAATGCAGGTCATTAGCTCACGAAAAATAAATATCTAGGCCAGGAACAGAAATCATGGTCCATGGACTTCCCAGCCAAGCCAGTAAAAGTTTGAAAGACAGGTGGAGAAGATGTGTCAATGTGTCAGGCCACTGTGCTACAGGTTTGGAGGAAGAGAGAAGAATTACTTGGGATGATTATAGCCATAACCCACAGCTGCAGGTGGTGGGGAGAGGCAGACACAATTCTCCAGGCCTGCTACAGTAGAAGGTAGGAACAAAAACAAACCCCCAAAATTTGAAGGATGTATCAGACTAAAGGAAAACTGGGGGAACATGACAGGGGAAGAAGAATGGTGGAATGAATATGAACAAAGAGAGATATTTAATAGCAGGAAAAAGAAACACAAGGGATACATGCCAGTTTATTACTTCATAGATAGCTATCTTTATAAAACTGTTATACAAACAGAAATAATTTCTTAAATACATATATAGAGAGTAAACATAACTGTATGCCTAACTATGCTCTTTCTATGTATTTATGTGAACATCTGTGTGTTACATCTGAGATGCAGAGAAAGATGATGGCAATGAATGTTCTCTAAGAGAGGTATAAATACGAAGAATTAATTTTCTGTTGGGTATAAATGTAAGAGTTTATGTCCACTATCTACATTGATGCAATGTTCTATATTATTCTAATAATATGCTCATGTTTATTATCAGGTTAGGAGAATTGCTGAAGTATATTAAAAATATCATCAACCACCTCTTCGCTGTTACCATCTCATAAACTTACCAGTGCACTCATCTAATTACACATGCAGTCTTTCACATCAAGTTTATAATTTCTTCTGTATAGGCAAATAATTTTTTTTTAAAACTGACTGACTATTCAGGGGACTGATGTGGACCACCAGATAATTTAATTCCCACACCAAACAACTGTAAGAACTCGGGAACACAGGGAAGTGAAGGAGATCTTTCGGAGGATAGAATGTAACATTGAATGAGGGCTGGAGCACCTCTCCTATGACAAAAAGCTGAAGACAGTTGGGGTTGTTCAGCCAGGAGAAGAGAAGGCTTCAGGGAGACCTTATTGCAGCCTTTCAATATTTAAAGGGGGCTTGTAAGAAAGACGGGGAAAGACTTTACCAGGACCTGTAGTGACAGGACAAGGGGCAACAGTTGAAAGAGGGTAGCTGAAAGGAGGTAAGCTGAAAGAGGGTAAGCCAAAGGAGGGTAGATTTAGATTGAATATAAGGAAGAAATTTTTTATGATGAGGGTGGTGAGGCACTGGCACAGGCTGCCCAGAGAAGCTGTGGATGCCCCATCCCTGGAAGTGTTCAAGGCCAGGCTGGATGGGCCTTTGAGCAACCTCATCTAGTGAAAGGTGCTCCTGCTTATGGCAGGGGGTTTGGACTGTGGGATCTTTAAAGGTTCCTTCCAACTGAAACCATTCTTTGATTCTATGGTACCTGGAAAAGTTACTGTATCTGCCCCTGTATGGAAGTGATAACTGTGTAAGAGAATGTATGTTATTTGTGCTCAGCAACAGACTGTGCAACTTCCTCTTCACATCCTTCATTAGACATTGTACAAGGCCTTACAGTACTCGTGTGTTTAAGTGGAAATTCAAACACAGGAGAGACCGTGATCTGTGTGTACTTCTTAGTTTGAAGCAATGCAAAAATGTTTAAACATGATAAATTAGAAGACTGGAATTATCTGCTGCTTTGTAGGTTTCTATAGTAAAAATTTAAAATATTAATCATGGTTCTTTTCCATAATTTAGTACAAAATTTCACACTTGCTACATCCTACGCTATTATAATCAGGGAATGTGAGAAGAGCTAATGATTTTAAAATTATTATTAGATAAGGAGAAGAAATTGTAGTACCCCATTACCAGAATTAGCCTGAGAATCTGCGACAAATTGAGTTTTGTTAATACAGAGAAAGAATCATCTTCACCTTTAATGGAACTTTACAAGTATGGCAATAGTGTTATAAAATAAAGATTTGTTATAGCCATTTGATCAAACAGGAGGAATTCTCAGTGCTGTTGAGTACTCACAATCTTTTTCAGAAGCCCAGCTGTTGCAGATTATATTTGACTGGTCTTAAAACCAGTGTCTCAACCATCACATCTTTCTATTTCCTCTCTTCAGTTGTGCAAAAAAATGCTGAATACAAATCTAGGTGTCACTTGTTTATGCATATTAAGCATAGTTTCCTGCCAACACTGCTCATTCCATCATGAGTGATGAGCCCATTATTGCATCTGAAGTATTGATTTCACGCACTTTGGATATCACTCAGATCTGAAAGTTGTCTTGGAAAGTATGGCTCATTTAAATTGTCATTCATATAATGTATGTCAGAAAGATTAAATTCCAAACACATTTTTATAGATGTATAATTTTTAAAGTTTTACTTCATGTAAGTGTAAGGAAATCAGAATCCAGTAAGTTAGCAGGTTGTTTAAATAACTTGTTTAAATGTTGTTTAAATATTTCTATGAAGCTTGGTAAAAAATACATTCAAGAAAGCAATGAGTTACTCAAGTGATAATTTCATTTTTGTTATACATTTTAAAGTGAGAATGAAAGTCATAGATTTCATGCTGTGTGAAGTTAAGCATAAAGGTCTGCAGAATCAGGGCCTAGACAGAAATGTGATATATATAAAAGCTGTAGATATTTTCCAGACACAGTTGTTAAATCATTGCACACAGCAGCTTCCACTTACATGCATAAAAAGAAAAAAAGGAAAAAGCAGTAGCTTGGCAAGGCATTAAGAAAGTGGCACATTTATGAAAGGGAGACATTGATGCAGAAATGCTATTTTGTTTTAGAGGGAGAGAGAAAAAGTTTTTGGCCTGTATAAGTACAGATTTAAAAGTACATTTACCCATAATTTACCCTTCATGTCTGCAGAAGTTAACCAAGCAATGCTTGAAGCTTTATATAAAAAGCTATTAAGTAACATATTTGGACATTTCTGAGGAGATTAAAGAGTCAGGGAGAACATTAACTACTGCTTCTCTCAGAGCTGTATTTTCATGGCTTGAACTGCAACGAAACCCCAGAAGCATCAGCCTAGATCACACTATGCTTGGGTCTCCAAACAGGAGGCGACGGGATTTTTTAGCAGGCAGTTGGCCCCTTTCCCTCTAGGTGCTGTGTACCATGGTGTGCACGTTTCTGGCCATGTTCCATGGCAGCATCACAAAGCTGTGCCGTTTCCAGCCCCCCTCTACCCTTCCATCAAGCTGCACAGGGCAGCTGCAGCCAGCCTGGGAGGAGACCACTAGTGCGTACAGTAGAGTGATCCTGCCTCGGACAGTAAGCACACAGGCAGACGCTTTTAGAGGAAAGAGAAAGAAATGTCTTAATAAATTACAAGACAGACACTAAAGCAGGTGCAAAAGGTTGAAATAATGGCTAAGCAGTCAGCTCTGACAATAACAGTTACCTCTATCAGCTTTATAATAAATTTGTGATCAAAACAGATGCTTACAGATTTTTGGATCTGACACCATTCTCTCTCCTTATTCACTGCCAAGATGTGTGACAATATTGTACTCTTTGAGGGCATCCTACTGAAGTGCGAGGGACTGTGAGGAGAAATCCAAGAAATGAGTGGAGTTAAAGACCTTGAGACCTTTGTGTATCTGAGGCAGTTTTGCTACCTGTGTGGAGCTGTGGTACAAAAGTGGACCCTACGTAAATCACAGGCATTTCAAGGCATGATGGATGCAGTTAGGATATTTGTTGGTACTGTGCTCACAGAATAAAACTACATATTTCTAGTATATATGTTTGTGAGCAGGATTGTCCCAGAGAGTAAAATGTTCCACTCTGTATTTTCACCGCGATCTGAAGTATTCGTTTTCATTAACTGATTGTGCGTATGTCAGAGAAAATATGCTTGTCAGTGGAAGTCAGATGGATCCACAGTATTTCCTTAAAAGTGTAATTTAGTACTTCATTGTTTTGACTGTAAAGTGTGAGCCTTCTTCTGCCATCCATACTCTGTGGTGAGTAGCAGTTCACCCCGCTCACTACATCTCAATTTCACTATCTTGACAAAGGGAACAATAGCAATGACCAACCTGATGGAGATTTGAAAGTTCGAATTTGCTACCAGACGTGACATTCTCACATGTCAATGAGTCTTATGCAAAAGCCATTAGTATAATGAAATTTTTAAATGTGCGGTGTAGCATTTTACGCATGCAGCAACTGCCTTTTTTGCTTGCTACAACTTTCTGACTTTTAACATGAAATCTAGATCTGTAACAGTAACCTATGCCTTTTTTCAGTTCTTACTGATAGACAGCAAGTGCCTTTTTTTTCTTTTTTTTTTCCCCCACCTAAAGAAGGGATTCTGTTGAAGCATGGCTCTGTCTTCCCTCTGCTTTTTTTGGTGATGCAAAGAAATGAACAGCTGTAATATAAGCTCACGAGAATGCCTAGTAAAAGTTTGTTTGCTACAAAGACTGCATGAGTAAGCTGCGGGAAGTGAAACTTCTGCTCCTATTTCTGCAGGTTAACTTTGCAGCAGGAAAACAATCAGTAATAATGAGAGATTGCTGTAGTTTCCTGTACATCAGATAAGTGTTAAGAAGCAAATCTTGCTCAAGGATAATTGTCTTGAATGTTTCTCTCAGTTGCAGGTGGATCTGCAACTAACTTTTAGTTCTTAGGATCCAGTAGACATTTAGGAGGAATTTTGCCAGCAGGATTATTTACAAACAGGAAATATTTATCCACTAGCAGTGAATTTCATGACAGTGCTTAGCTGCTAATACAGAATTTCACTCAAATGACCAATGTTCCCCCCCCCCACCCCCGGCTTTACAAATCAAAACGAATTCTAAGGAGGAAGTCTGCATCTTTACAAGCAGTTGAGATTTATTTGTATCCTGTTCCCATTGAAGCCAATGCAGTATCT